CTTAAGGACTAATAAGCTAACGGCTAGTCTGTTGCTGCCATCTTTAAACGGATTTTACATCCATTAATGCTAACATAGTCTTCCTACCTTCTCCTTACGCAGTCACGAGTGTAACTGTAGCACTTCCAGCCCAGCGGTCCGGCACGGCTGGAATACTTTTATTAACTCAGACTAGCTGTTAGCTCATCAGTCCTGAACGATGTAAGCTGTTTCTTTAAACTGAGGCCTCTCAGGAGGCCATCTACGACAGGTGTTGTTAAAATTGCTTAAACTCTCTTGGGCTTGTGTTACGACCCGATTTGGTTCAAGCATCAGCTGTCCGTGTGGCCAGCACCGTGGATGCAGGACAAGCCCAAATCATCAGTCCTCCACCCTCGTGCTGGGAGCTTAGGGAGCTGTTGGTGCAGACAAGCTGTTTGGGTTACTCAGTATGTGCTGAGATGCATCTTTGGGTAAGTGAGACATGTTGCTGTTCCGCTGCATGTCCTGGCAAGTCGAGCGTTAACGTTTGGGTTTGGATGCTGCTTCAACACACCCGTCCGATCACCTGAACATGCAGGCGAATGACCGACGTTCCTGCCTCTGTGGCTGTGTAGTGGTTTCTGGCCCACCGTGACCCAGCAGCAGCAGAACCCTCCCACTCTTCATGAAGACTTTAGGGGTTGACCTGAACAGCTGAAACGCTGCTGAGCCGCGCTCAGACAGACTGCTGATGGGCCGCCGCTCCACCTCCCGTCTGCTGATGTACAAGTTTCCACATTTAAAGAATAAAGAGTTTTTATACCCATGTCATTTTTTACTTTTTCACTTTAAAGAGCAAGTCACTCCAAGTCAACATTTTTTTTTTTGCTGATAAATGATATAAACGAGTGTCTGGTCGTGCTGCAGACACGTGGAGTCAATAACTCGGCACTTTAGTGCATCTTAGTTCAAATTTAAATATTCTGCCTAAAACTGTCAGAGTTGCACCATCAGGTAAAAACTCAGCGCTGCATTTGAATTTAAATCTGCCATCGCTATTGGCTAAGAGGTACACTATGATGTCACAATGTCGTGAGTGTGTATCTGATAGTGGCTCCGCCCTCTCGGTCTGCTAGGCTACAGCATTTGTTGCATTTTTCAAACAGGAAGTGGGAGTTGAGTAAGAATCTGGTAGGGGGTGACTTGCTCTTTAAATGCTTTTATTTTTGGGTTGTAATTAAACGTGTGTGTGCGTGCATGTGTGTATATGTGTGTGCACGTGTGTGCGTCTAGCTCCACACAGCTCTGCGTGCTGGGACCAGCTCTTCTCTGGTTTTGTACCACGAGGCGAGTCTGCACCTCTCTGACGTAATAATTTAGCTTCTTTTCATGAATGAAGTCAGCCAGTGGGAGAACCTGTGAAGTTCTGACTGGTGCGTGTGACCTGCAGTCAGAGGGAACCGGATGTGAGCAGAGCTGAATAAAAACCTGCAGAACAGGAATCTGCACACAAGTCGTCGTTTCTTCTACTGATTTTAATTGTGACCATATATAACACTGAATTCATTTCATCTCGTTTCCATAAGAAGTCACCAGATGAAGGATTTCTGCTGTATAATGAACTTCATCACAGAAACTAACAGAAAACGAGCATCTCGGTGCTGCTTACATTCAGTAGAGGAGCACAGACACATGAAGGATCAGACCCAGAACCAGCAGGACTCTCATCCACCTGATGCGGGACATTCGTCCAGATCTCCACCATCAAACAGATTTGGTTCCTTCCAGAATAAAAGCTCACCGTGTCCTTTTGGCACCGACGGAAGGAGAAAGCTAACAGCACAAACGAACCTGAAGAGTGACCACTTCCTGTCTGGTGACGGACAGGACGAGAGCTGAGTGACAGAAGCGGTCCGATCCGATTCTTAAACGTTAGCGTGAATCTTTTTCTTTCCCTGTAGACGCTTCCTGAACAGGACTGATGAGCTAACGGCTAGTCTCAGCTCAGCCAGGATGCTGCCGCCATCTTTAAACTTTCATTGGAAGGAATATTAAGGAATTCCGTCTGAAATTGATCCCTGGATGCACCGGGAATGCTAAGTTTAGCTGCTGAGCTAGCTGATTCTGCCGACTAAGATAACAAAGAAAAAAGACCCCACTACCACAGATTAACTGGGATTACACAGGACTCCTGTGGAAAGTTTTCCAACATTAATCCAAACTGGGATATTGACTGGGAATCTTTGTATTGGTTCATATCCACCAGATTAGAAAATATTTCAGTCTTTTCCGGGTCGGTTCTGAACATCTGGGCTTCATCACATCATTCAAAGTTAGAAAGAAGAACTCTTTAAAATGGCTGAAAAATCACTGGAATGGATGTAGAGACAGGATGCCCTCTGGATCGGCAGGAAGCCGGTCAGATCCACACGGAACAATGGAAATAATGGGAAGTTCAAGCTTCTCCTGGAACGCGTGGTCTCGGAGAAGCAGGGTGATTTATTCCATCCTGGCTCTGAGGGACGGACCGAACAGACGTGACTCAAAATAAAGATCCAATTCAGTACGACGACAAACACGCCGAGAAGAAATCAGCTCCAGGATAAATCATCAGACCAACGGAGGCAGATTCACTTTGGAAATCAGTGGGAATAATCTCCCCCTCTCAAGTTGCAGCAGTAGGACCACCGAAGAACAGATCTCCCCACAGATTAGGATTAGGATTAGGGTTTACCCAAAGGCTCCGACTGCAGCCTTTGCTCCAACCCTAACCTCCGGAGCAAGGGGTCCATCCTTCAAATCCAGATTAAAAACTTCTCCAGCAGACGTCTATCTGATCCTGTCTATAGAATCTAGAAGTCATGCATAATCTCATCAATCCAGTTTTTGCACCATAAGAGCCAATCCAGACAGTCCCAGAGTAGAGACTCCCAGAACAATATAGGACCAACTGTCAGGCAGCAGGAGCGCAGCCGGAACAGAAAAATGATGATAATGAGGTGAGAGAGGAGCCTAGGACAAGCTACGGGGAAAGAGGTGATGGATCCGAGGCTTCCAGCTCTGGGCTCAGGCCCCAGGTTGCAGCTCTAGACTCTGGCCTACACCCCTGGGCTCTGAGCTGCAGCTCCAGGATCTCGGACCCCGGCTGCGGCCCAGAACCCAGGGCTGCAGCTCTAGGCTCTGGGTTGCAAATCTAGCCTCTGGGCTGTAGCCCTGAGCACTGAGCTGCACCCCTGGGCTCTGAGCTGCAGGTCTGTGCTCTGGGCTGCAGCTTTGGGCTCTGAACTGCAGATCTGAGCTGCAGCCCTGGGCTCTGAACTGCAGATCTGGGCTGCAGCCCTGGGCTCTGAACTGCAGATCTGTGCTCTGGGCTGCAGCTTTGGGCTCTGAACTGCAGATCTGAGCTCAGGGTTGCAGCTCTGAACTGCAGATCTGTGCTCTGGGCTGCAGCTCTGGACCCCAGGCTGCAGCTCCAGCTGGGCTCATTTCTCCCTGTAGAACAGCAGGAACATCTTCAGCGGCTCTGGAAGTGGAAGGCCCAGGATCCGCTCTCTCAGCAGGTTCACGGCCGGCTGGGGTCGCAGCAACTCCCCTGTTTCCTTCTCCTCCTCCTCTTCCTCCCGCTCCTCCTCTTCATCCTCCTCCTCCACAGTCTCCTCCTCCTCCATTAGCCCCCCTCTCACCAACCTTCTGCTCCCCCTCACTGGCCGCCTCGGTTGGCGCTCTCTGGCCATCTCCTCATCCTCCACCCGGCCCTCCTGGTTGTTGTTGCTGTCCAAGGGGGCGGGACCAATCCCGCTGCTCGCCACCACTTGTCGGGTAGCCAGAACCAGGGCATTGCAGTGGCGCCGGTGGACCCGTCGGCGTTTGAAGCGAGGGCCGTACTTATGGAGGCCGGCCGCTGCCAGCCCTCGGCCCACGCTGAAGGAGGAGCGTCGGCCACGCAGGTGTCCGTCTCCTCCGTCGGGGGTGTAGTCAGGGGTCACCCTGAGGGTGTGGCGGATGCAGATACGGGCCAGCTCCTGCAGCGACCGGACCTCGTACTTGGCTGAGAAATGAAGGAAACGAGAACAGATGTGAGGCTGATTGGAACAATAAGGCTGGTGGCTGCACAGCCCCAAAGGAAGCTGTGGATTGGTTCTGGTTCTAACGAGACTCACGCAGCGGGACCGTCTTGGGTTTGCCGTTGGTGTTGTGTTTGGGCAGCACCAGAGGAGCGAAGGACACCGAGATGATCTTCTTGGTCTCCCAGCTGTTGGCTCCAGTACGGCTGATCTTGGTCAGCTGCAGCGAACACAGTCTGGCTGATTTGGTCAAATCTCAGAATAACATTTTGCTCAAGCTCCCAACATGACTCTCGCCACGGTAGCGTAACTTTTACCAAGACTTGTGAGACTCAAACACAAACCAGAGACCCCAGTGATGAGCACTCACCTTTTCCTCCAGTGGCATCACCAGGATCCCGCCCACCTTCAGCAGGTTCTTCATGTAATCCTCGTGTTCCTTCTGCACTCCGGCCCCACAGTAGACCCGATCGTAGTGACGGCTCTCCGGAGGGATCTCCAGACAGTTTCCCACCACAAAGGACGGCTCACAGAACTCAAATCTGGAGAGACGCGGCAGGAAAATAAACCCAGGTGTGTAGGACAGGTGATTAGAACAACTCACCAAGACTTTACTCAGAAGTATCAGCTAGCACTTTTTGATTACTACGGTGAACACACCCTCAGCTGACCTGAAACAACCAATGAGAGCTTTCGTGAGAACATAGAGGAGTCACCTATCTGACCTCCTCTACAGAAGCACGAGTTCTCTGCTCTGGAGCATACAGTCGTGTGTTAACCACACCAGGAATGGTCATCAATTTGGAAAAGGTCAAAGGTCAGGTAATCAGTGTCTATTCAAAAGAAAGGGAAATATACAACGATGACAACTGCCAGTCTTCCAATGTGTGCCATCCCAGAACATTCCCCACAGGGTCAAAGATCAGTGCTGATGGAATGACAAGGAGCACATCTCAGACTCTACGATTGGCAGGTCAAAGGTTCAGGCACGACTCAGGTGGGTAAAGATGCAAACAAACCCCAGGACTTCTGGAACTATGTCACTTGGATCCAAAATGAGACGTTTACCCAAAATGCAAAGCAACACAAACACAGCTGACAGCACGGCGGTGGAGTGGTGATGATCTGGGAATATTCTGTATCACGACCTCTGCTAGAGTTCCAGCAGAAAGGCGTAAGAGTCATATGAGGTCATGGCCTGCTTGTTTCAGGTAGGTTGGAGACCCGCTGGAGACCAGAGGATCTCTGGGTCCGGGTGCATCTGCAGACCTACTTGTCAAAACTGTCGCTGGTTTTGATGAAGGAGTCTAACTTCTGATAGGCGTAATCCATCACGTCCGCGTGGAGCTCTATCCCATGATTCACCCCGGAAGGTCCTGGAACAGGAGAGCTTTTAGTGTCAACATGTCCAGTCATCCAAACAGGAAGTGATGGATTACACACCAACAAGACCACATTACCCAGAATGAGTCCAACCATAGTGCTGAGGTATCCAGTCCCACTTCCCAGGTTAAGGAAGGACAGGCCGGGGTGGAGATCCAGAGCCTCCATCACCTCAGAGTAGATGCACGGAGCAGACAGGTGGATGTTTCCATGGCGCCAGGCCAGGTCCTACCAACAAGAGACCCAGCTGAGTGCCTCGGAGCTTCTCTGGACTCATACAGCAGACTTTTTTCACCTTGTAAGCGTTGTCCCGGTACTCGTCAAGGTAGTAGTCGGCCCGGTCGATGGCTCTGAACGCTCGCTCCACCAGGTCTGAGCGGATGTAGTACGCCTCCTTCAGGTTGTCGATCAGGTCATCGTTGTCCTCGCCAGCACTTACAGCTCCGCCCATCCTAATGGAGCAGAACCGAGTCGTAAAATCCTCTCTCTACTGTTTGCTCTACAGCCGTAGGACCAAACCGGAGCGTTCACACAAACATGGCCGCCTACTGGGGTGGTGTACTCGTCTGTGGTCACTTTGGGTCGCTATCCGGGCCTTTTAGACACAAAACCACCATTTCACCTTTGGGTTGAGGTATTTAGGTGGATTTTCTTTTTTTCTTTTTATTAAGGATGTTCTAATAACGGCTTTTTTTTGCTCACGGTCCGAGTCCGAGTAATCTGACTTTAAGCATCAGCCGATAGCAAGTCTCGATGCGACACTTTGGAAAAGCATCAAGAAAAAACGTAACCGTTGATATTTCTTTAGTTTATCTGCCATAAAACATCATTCATGAGAAATGCGTTAATATTAAGAATGAAGGTGAAAGCGCCTTGCTGTTGCTCAGACTTCAGATCGTTTACTGGAGCGACAGGGATGGCACGGCACGACGGTCAGCAGCAGGGTCGCTTCTTTCTACTGAACACCTGTAGAGCAGCTGCGTCTGTAAAGCAGGGTTAGGGTTAGTAGGAGAAGGCAGATCATGCTCAAGGACACTAGCTCAGCACTTTTGCTGTCCGTACACTCGTTTCCTAACACACCTTTTATTCGGGCTCATCGGAACCGAGCAGGATTAGATTATTTTAAGGCGGTGCATCCCACACATTACTCTGGTCTATTACACTTTCATTTTAAAATACACCCAGATTACAGACACGTCCTCTCGAGGCCACGGCTGTGCTCTCCGTTAGCTACGCTGAACAACAAGTAAACAACACTTTTGTTTTTACTCCCATTTTTCATGAGCTGAACTCAAACATCTGTAATCTGTCTACAGGTGTGTTCGTGAGCACTTTTCCTTTACCAAGGTAGTCCATCCCACCTCACAGGTGTGGCACACCAAGGGGCTGGTGACAGCATGAATAATGAACAAGTGGGGGCCGCTTGTACAGCGTTGTCTGTGGAACAAACAACGCTGAGGTAGAGGAACTTGTTGAATGTAGAACGAAGCCGTTGTTATTCTGTTTTAAATTTGTCCTAAAAGAGAGATTTTCAAAGTAATGTTAGTGCTTTTAAATGGTTCAATTCGTTTTTTCCATCCAATTCCAATTTCCTGAAAATCACGCGATCGGATTGGACCATCCCTACTATTAAAAGCTAATTTTACTTACTCTGGTTTTTGCAGCTCATTTTGGACTCATTGTGTCCCGTTTATAAATCATACCGTAAATCCTCTAATACAGGCCCGGGCCTGTATTTGACTCAAGCTCATCAAGCTCCAGGCCTTTATTGGAAGGAGGGCCAGAATTAGAGGCAGGCCATCACTGGCAAATCAAAAGTGAGACGGATGACACAACCGCCCCCCTGTGGTACTTGCTTGTTACCACATTCCACCCGGCCACAATAAAAAAAAAAACGGCCATTATTCACCGACTCCGACACCGGCCAAAATATGATACCCGGCCGTTAACTGAATACAGGCCAATATTAGAGGATTTACGGTATCTAAACAACATGGAATAATTACCTTAAATTACATAAATGACTAGAAATGACCAATAAAATCATTGAATACTATCTATGCGAGAGGCTGGTTGTGTGCAGAACTGGAGCTCCACAGGGTACGGTGCTCTCACCCTTTCTCTTCACCTTCTACACCTGGGACTTCACCTGCAACACCAGCAGCGGTCACCACCAGAAGTTCTCGGAATAATTCAACAGGTAAACTAGTAGTAGCAAATTCAATGTCAAAGAGTGAAATGTTATTATCAGGAGAAATCAGCTGGACACCTGTCATTTTTAATGTACTGTCCTTGTGCAGCCGGCAGCTCTACGTGTGTAACCACGCTAATAACTGCTTAATGACAACCACGGTCAACCAGGAGGTGCCGGGGCTGTGGGCGCGTGACGTCATGCTTCAGTGGGTCTAGGACTGGTTGCCAAATACCTCAAATTTACAGAACATCACAGAGGAACTTCCTGAAGGATCAATGAAGTTGATCAGAAGTTATTCCAAGTGAAGACTTACAGCTCAAATGTTCCAAAAAGTTCCTAAAAACGAAGCGTTTTCTACATCTTTTGGATCGAGTTTGGGCTCTTTGCGTCTTACAGAGGTTGTTTTTCTGTTTCTTCACTAGATTTAGAACGGTTGTGTCTGACGTCATGTTTTGGGTCGTGGTTTTTCACCTGTGACCTTTAGAGACCCATTAGGAAACTGGAGGTCTGTCTCGTCTTCCAAACTCATCCCAGTTTTCCAGGGATGTATGACAGGAGGCTATGGTTGCTAGGAGACGGGATCCATGTTTCTGATCAGGCTGGGGTAATTTCCCACAGCCCTACAGGTTCCTGAATGGGTCCAGGTGACGCGTTCACGGCCCTTAAAACCAGGCGGTGGCGCTGCAACTCATTCAAGACCACTTTAACACAAACTTCGTGCATTTTAGCCTCGTGATTCTGCGTCAGAAATCCGAAAAGCCGATCTGATGGTTGCGTGTGAAGGTACCCATGTGGCGGGGGACCCCCGCACCGGTCCGGTACCTCCGATGAGCGGCCCAGAAGCGCAAAAACAGCGAGAAGAGCTGCGTTGTTACTGATTAGCTGCAGCATTACGCAGAACTGCCGCTGTCGGCCTCGATGCGAGGACAAAAGCCGCACCAAAACCTCCAACAGCCGCAAAGTGCTGCGCCTGTTTAGCGTGGGATCACATTAAAATGTACCTGAAGAAGAAGGACGTGCGTGAGGGAGCGGGTTTCCTGCTGCTGCTGCCCTGTTGTTGTCGGGATCTAGTCAACACACCACTGCTGGATGGATGTAAACATGCAGCCGACTGACGTCATCACGCTGCACGTAAAACACGCGAAGCCACTTCCTGCAGCATAGACCCCGCGTGACTGCCGACGAGCGACGAGCGGTGGCGCCGCCATCTTGGATCGGTCGAGCCCCCTCATGCATGTTAAATCAACCGTAACTCCCTGAGTTCTGAACCGATTCTGATGCGAGTTTTCCCTGCAAACGTCACACATGTAGCTCTGACACAGAACGCATGTTTTAGCCTTTGTAACCTTAGTGGGGTTGCTTTGGGTTCATATGTGACTCTTGACCAGAGCTTGGTGTCAAAACTTATAGTAAAAAGGATCAATCACTAAAAATCAGTCAACTCAACTTTTTAATGGCCTTTTAGAAAGTCAAACAATGAGAATGAAAATAATTAAAGGGTGTTCATACAACAGGTGTGTGAGATCTGTGGCAGGTACTAAAAAATAACCCTAGTTAGGTTGTTTGTGACCCAAGGTTTGTTTTTGCGTGTAATCATGGAATTATTTGGACTCGGAGGGCTAGCTGTGGTTACTGCCTGCACTAACAGATCATCTAAGCAGTTTCTGCTTATTTTTATCAGTAAATACATTTTTAATTCTGTACTTTATTTTGCTGGTTGAATGGAGGGAAATGGTGTGTCATTCAACTGCTTGGTGAAGCATGTTAGTGGGGCTGCATAAGAACCTTGAGCGGGTGCCCGGTTTCTCCTGTCGGAGAACAGTTGTTAGAATAGGTGGCTGGCAGTTCCCGTTTTCCGGGGCAGCAGGGACACGCGGACCGGTGGCTCTGATGCAAGGCTGTAGTCATGCTGGTCACTTGTGAACCTCTGAGGGACAGCACAGAAACACAGCAGCTCTTTTAGCTGATGCTGCTTCACTTACGAGTCACTCAACCGCATTTTTTTCTCGGTAATAGTTTGCTGGTTAAATGGGGGGAAATTCTATGCATTTACCATAATACTGCTTGGTGGAAGATGGGCTCAAAATATATGTGTTGGTGTGGCTGCAGAGTAACAAAACTGCATCCACATATCTGACTGAAGGTAGTTGAGGCTCTTGGGCTTCACTATTCAAAGATCCATGAGTCCGCCTTTGTCGACGGTCCCAGTGTACGGTGGCCGTTAGCTGAGTTGACACTCCGTCTCCATCCAGGAGTATGACACAAATCTGGGAGCTGAGTCAACGTTCCCAGAGACGGGACCATCCACAACATTGGACTTGCAGACTTTTGACCGCGGTAGACCGCGAAGCCTGATACCCTGGGTCGGCCTACCTAGTTATGATAGCAGGCTGGAGGACTTCACTTCAAAGTTGCTCTACCGGGTTTTTCTTGCTTAAAATGCCTGGAAAACTTTGTTAGCTTCATGCTAGCTCCATTCCACTGATCTCCGACCGTACAGTATTAGCTGATGTAAAAGGCCACAACGCCCGGCCACAATTGCAGCAATCTAAAGCTCTGCTTGTAATTTAACAGTCCCAGTCCATATTAGATTTCCACAGGCGATTAGCATAACTACAGCCTCGCACAGGAGACCATGTGGGTGGGCTACCCTGGTCCCCGGAGCTCCTTCTTAGCTTCTTGGGTTAGCTAAGTTAGCTAGTAGCCACACTGGTTCATTTGTTTCAACTGTAACAGCCCCACGCTCCGCACCACCTCGTTTCCCAGTTTTGGATTGTCTGAGTGTGATGGGACATATGACACGATCAAAGTGGCGGTGGTGGGAACCTCCCATTTGGAAACAATACAGTTTCTAAACAAAATAAATCCGAGCCTGTGGACATGAATTGTCCTACCCTTACCCTGCACGCACACAGACACACAATTTGTTTTACAGTTTTTTTTATTATATTTTTAAATGCAAAACAGCCACATCAGGATCTTTTAATGGTTTTTAACGTCTTAATGGTCTTGGGCCTTCTCATCCCTCAGAACTGCTGCTACCTTCATGGTCTCTGCGCTCCTCTGGCAGCTGTCTCCTTGTCATAAGTCAGGACACATGCTGAAGGTGGGGGCCCTTCCAGCTGAGGCCCTCAGGGCCACAGAGAACGGTAAGACTCATCTTTTTAGTTCAGCTTTTAGCTGAATTTGATCGATTTTAGCCTGTTTAACCATCTTTCGTACATCTTATCAGTGTTTAATTACCTAGACTTGCAAATTTTAACCTGTAAAACTTATTTGTATTATAAGATTTTTCTATATTTAATTGATTTGCATGTGTTACTTGATTGTCTTTTATCAGTGTGTTTAATTTACTTTTATCTATCAGACGTTTATTCCTAATTTGCCGGGGGGGGGGGGGGGGGGGGGGGTGATGATGTGACAGCATGAAAACTTGAACACAGTAAAGAGACTTCAGTCGGTTTTCTTGTCTATGAGTGTTTATTTGTATTTTTCATAGAGAACATTTAAAGTGGACCGTACGCCCACAAGAACCAACGTTACTTGTCTGCTTTGGAACACTGACACAGGAACAGGGGAACATGTACACAAGAACACACACACACACAGTCACAAACCTACAGTGTTGTACACCCCCCCCCCCCCCCCCCAAGGACACACAGCCAAGGCCTGTCCCACTTTTCAACTCGGAGCATAGCAAAGGAACCACATCTACAAAAGTAACAAGAGGATGAATTTAAGGAAGTGCTTGTAAAAGTCTGGAAGTTCTTCTGGTTCGTATCCGTGTCTAGAAAATCAGCAGTAAAAATAGCTCTTCTCTGTAAAAATGTGTGGGCAGGACAACCCTTGGCTGCGGAGCGTTTTTACGTCAGTGTCACAAACTAGCTGTTTATTTATTTTTTTGTTATTTTTAACCCTTTCAGCTGGAACACAACAACAACAACACTGTTTCTGAATACACATATGTACAGACTCTCCACCGGGGTAGGATAATGCCCTGCTGATCTAGAGACCATCACACAAACTCTCCGTGAAGTTTACAAGTTACCTGAATTGGACAGAATGAGTCACAGTTTCTTTAGCCCCGCCCACCCCACCCCACCCCTGAAATTAACACATCTGGATCGGAGTCCTCTGAGCTGAACTTAAACCAGGTGTGAACATTCTGTATGTTGACATGAGCGGAGTGAGAAAGGCACACATGATGAGACCTACAGCCGGGAGGCGGTACCAGACGGGGTGGGGGCGGGGTTTTGGTTCTATTTTTAGATTAGTTTTAGCGTTTGGACAGCTCAGGTCGCGTTCCTGTCTCCGGTAAATACGCCTGCCCTTCCCATTTGGATGTTTTTGTTGAATTCCCTGAAAAGTTTTGCTCACCGGGGTCTGGTTAACGCTGGAAACAATCACCCAGGACTTTTATGTAAACATGGAAAGACTCGGAGCGTGGGCGCAGGACCGGCGTGGGCCGCGTTCGCTCCCTTAACTGACTTGTTGTTTTTCTACAACAGTAAAACACTCTGCTGCCACGGCCTCGTCGTTTTTATTTCCATACCTCAGTAGACGTTTTCATCAAGCAGTTTAAACGGGGTCATGCCACAGCAAACAGGTTAGGAGAGCATTCACGTCTGAACACTGGCGGCTAGAGCTTCTCGTGCATTTCAAGAGGAACAACTCACTACTTTGTTAACCAAATGCATCCAAACTATCTTCCTTGAAGAAAGGTTACACAAGACAGGGAGGGGGTGGCGGTTTGGGCGGGGGAGGGGGTAAAAAGTCATACAAAGCTTCGACATTCTTTTGAGTGACGTTCACATATCTATGCAACAAACGCCTCCTCCAACAACAAAGGGGAGATTGTGCATCCCGGCGAATCAATTTCCCACTCCCACACACTCGTCTCATTCCACACGGGGCCTTGATCCAGCCGCTGCTATCGCCTCTAGCCTCAGCTGAGTGCTCGACCTATGGCGAAGCTCCATTCTGCCTCAGCAGCTACCCCTCCATCCGGTCACCTGAGAACCAAACTCTGCTTCCTGTCGGTCTCTTTTGGTTTCCTTGTTGGGAACAGAAAGAACGACTCGCTTCTAACACAAATCAGAGCCTCGGATGCAGAAAAGGAAGAAACGGCGAGAGCGAGCAGCGCCCTGCTCCCCTAAACCACTCGGATGCTGGCATTCTCAACGCGTATCAGAAAGTGCACGAAGGAGACTGGGTCTAGGTTGGCTAAGAGCACATTTACAACATGCCTTTGACATCACGGGAATCGTACTGCACACCACTCCAAGGCTGGCTACACTAACAGCTGCTAGGCTAGAGGCCGTCACCAATAAGAACACACGATAACAAACCGCACAATGCTGCTGAACACGAAGTGCAGGACATTATTCAGAGGCAGCGACTGCTTTTTACTCTACACGAACTCACGTCACACTTAGCAACACAGAGCCGTCCGGCCAGTTCAGCTCCAGTCGCAGAAACACACGCCGACCTTTTCTGTTTGGGATCAGAGACAGGCGTGTGAACCAAAAGGAAAGGTATGAATGTTTACACCATCACCACCGTGACCGGTTAGTTTAAAGCCACAGTTGAGCAGGTCTCAGTGATATTAGATACGGAGTACGGCTCCGAACCCGCCTCAGCTTCTGATACGTCGATACAAGAGAAGAACAATTACACTGGAAAAATATATGTGTGTTTATATTCATATATATAGCATCTTTAAAATCTATTTGTACAGAATGTATATATAGTGAACTTATGGCCCTCTTGGCAGAGAAATAAAGGCATCTGAAACAATCGGCACTCTCTGGACTCCGTAGCCCGTCCAGGCTGGACGTCAGAGTCGAGAAGCGAAGAATCATGAAGCAAACGTTAAGATCTCCTCCCTTTTATTCACTTTTGTTATCAGCGGCACTTTGTGCATCAAAAAAATTCATATCTAGAGTAAGGCTACAAGGGTGTGTGTGTGTTAGAAGGTGGTAGGACTTGTTGTCTCCGTGTGTTTTTAGACTCGTGTATCCCAAATAACCGCTGCTGGAAGAGCGCTCTACCAGTACAGATAAGACGGACGAGGCGGCAGAGCAGCCGCGGAGCGTCGTGGAGCCAGAGCTGGCCGCTACAAAGCGCTAGGGAGAGGTAAACCATCATTAGTTTGTCTGTGACAAAAGCAGAACGCAGACAGGAACAGAGAGAGTGCTCCTGTTGTACAATCAGCTGCTGGTCTGTCTGAGGACACGCCTCAGCAATCAAACAGTACTTACTGGTGTCGCTTTTATTTAAATACGACAAACGGACTTTCTACGACTACTCACACGCAACCGTCACATCACGCACATAAATAACAAAATAAATATACAGCAGTCCATTTCTTCCATATTAAATAAATAATAATAATAATAATAATAATAAATACACTTTTTCCTCTCAGCAGTGGATTCGTTTGTTTTTGTAGCCCCAACAAAACAAACAAAAGGTGAAAAACTCAAAAAGATTGTTTCTCTCTATCAAAAAATTCCTGTTTATAAAACTTCTGCAGCTGAAAGCCCGAATCCGCCGAGGCGTGGCTTTACCTGCAGGTGGCTCGCCGCTCAGGTGCAACACAAACGTCATAAATAGATTCAAATAAATAAACTCCAATGAGATAAAAATGGTAATAAGTTAAAAGTTTAAATAATTCATTTTCAACAACAACAATATTAATAATTATCGTACCACAAAACTATTCATGAATGAATGAATGAAGTGCAATTCCTATCTGGATAAATACTATTGATATGACTGAGTGAACGATCTGAGATACACACACACGCACACACACACGCACACACACACGCACGCACGCACACACACACACACACACACGCACACACACACACACGCACGCATGCACACACACGCACGCACGCACACACACACTCACGCACGCACGCACACACACACACACACTCACACACTTGCACGAACACACACACACACTCACACACTCACACACACTCACGCACGCACGCACACACACACACACACACACACACGCACACATGCACACACACACACAAATGCACACACGCACACACACACACACACACACACACACACACACACACACACACACCATCATCATCTCAGAATAAATTGATTCTTCTGCTGTTCTGAGATCAGCTTCAGGACTTTTTAACGTCTCTAACTCCCTGCTTGCTGCCATAAAACTCCACTCACACTTCAGGTTCATGGAGGCTTCATGTTGCTCGTGTGTGTGTGTGTGTGTGTGTGTGTGTGTGTGTGTGTGTGTGTGTGTGTGTGTGTGTGTGTGTGTGGCGATGAATGCCACGAGTTTCCACAGCTGGTGAACAGGCGCGGGCGCCCTGGCGATTGTTGTGAGACAGCAGTCCGGCTCGTCCTTCCCGTTTCGGAGATCCTTTCAGCGGAAGTGAAGGACAAGAAGCATCAAGTTGCACTCGAGGAGGCGAAAAGGTAAACAAACGGCCCATCAGAGCCCCAAATGCAGTTTTGAGAACCATTCTCCAGGAGCTTTCCTTCTCCCAGTCCCAGCAGGACTGGATTTTGGTCACTTTTCTTCTACGGAGTGTTCCCTGGGTTGATTTTTTGAAAGTTGTCGTTTAAGTAACCTGAATTCCCTTTTATTTGTGAATGGCGTTGCGGAGCATCCCTCAGCTTCAGGAACGTTCTGCGTGGAGCCTCACACTTTGATGCCCTTCACGGCCTTGTTGATGCTCTCCAGCAGGGCCCTGTTCTCCGGGCTCTTGAAGCAGTCCTTGTTGGTGTACATGTCCGTCAGGGTGCTCACATAACGCTCAAAGTTCTGCTCGCTGATCGGCTCCTGCTGCGAAGCCAAGGAGATGGAGAAGAGCAGGATGAGCGAGGGGGCGGGGCATGTGTCCACACACAAGAACCAACCTTAAAAAGACCAAATATATAAAAAACTCTCACCAGGTGTGGCAGGCGGATGCTAGCGAGGCTGCGGATGAGGGCCCGACTCAGACCCGACAGCTCCATGAAGAGAGCCTCGTTCTGCTCTTCAATCATCTTGTTCTCGTGCTCGATGTTCTTCAGGTTCTTCTCCATGGAGGAGATCTGCAGCAACATGGTACCAGGTCATCATTTCAGCCACACCCTAAAACCAGCGTAGAGGATCTCTCTCTCTCTCTCTCTCTCTCTCTCTCTCTCTCTCTCTCTCTCTCTCTCTCTCTCTCTATCTATCTATCCGTCTGTCTGTCTGTCTGTCTGTCTATCTATCTATAATAATAATAATAATGATAATAACAGTAATAATAATGATAATGAAATAATGATAATAATAACAATAATAACAATAATAATTATAATAATAAAATAATAATAATAATAATAATAATAATGATGATGATAATAATAAAATAATGATAATAATAATGATAACAAAATAATGATAATATAATAATAATAATAATAATAACAATAATAATAATAAAATAATGATAATAATAATAATAATAAAATAATGATAATAATAATCGTAATAATAAAAATAATAATAATGATAATAATAGTAATAATAATGATAATAATAATAAAAATATTAATAAGGATAATAATAATAATAATAATAATAATAATAAAATAATGATAATAATAATGATAATAAAAATAATAATAATAATAAAATAATGATAATAATAATAACAATAATAATAATAATAAAATCATGATAATAATAATAACAATAATAATAATAATAATAATAATAAAATAATGATGATAATAATCATAATAATAATAATAATGATAATAACAATAATAATAATAAAATCATGATAATAACAATAACAATAATAATAATGATGATAATAACAATAATAATAATAAAATCATGATAATAATAATAACAATAATAATAATAATAATAATGATAATAACAATAATAATAATAAAATAATAATAATAATAATAATAAAATTATATGCTCCTGGTGCAATCTACAGTCATCTCCCGCCTCCATTACTGCAACGCCCTTCTAACTGGTCTTCCAGGCTGTACTGTGAGACCTCTTCAAATGGTCCAGAACGCAGCGGCGCGTCTGGTCTTCAATCAGCCAAAAAGAGCACACGTCACCCCTCTGTTCATTGAGCTCCACTGGCTACCGCTAGCAGCACGCATCAAATTCAAATAGCTAACACTAGCATACAAAGTCCGAGATGGTACGGCTCCCATCTACCTGAATCCTCTTGCAAAGGCTTACGTCTCGGCCCGGCCGCTCCGGTCATCACAGGATGGTCGGCTAGCAGTGCCTACACCACGCTCAGGACAATCCAGACTCTTCTCATGCATCGTTCCACAAATGTGGAATGACCTTCCAAGCACTACCAGAACAGGGCTTCCTTTTCAATTTTCAAGAAACTCCCGAAGACCCTGCTCTTCAGAGAGCATCTTATAAACTAGCACCCTCCCTGCACCCGTCCCCCCCTCTCTACTGTCCACTCCTTGTTCCCTCCTCTCCATGACTGATGTCATGTTGTTGTTGTTATTGTTGTTGTTAGCCTCAAGGGCAACATGCCAATTATCACTTGTAAGTCGCTTTGGACAAAAGCGTCTGCTAAATACATAAATATAAACATAAAATAATAATAATAACTGAACTTATATAGCGCTTGTTTAGGACACTCAAAGACGCTTTCACACACTGCTAGTGATGGTGAGCTACTATGTAGCCACAGCTGCCCTGGGGAGGTCTGACAGAGGTGGGGATGCCATTTGGCGCCGTCGGCCCCTCTGACCACCACCTACACAGACAAGTTGGGTGAAGTGTCTTGCCCAAGGACACAACAGCAGAGAACCTCTGGTGGGAGCTCCTGAGCCACTGCTGCCCCAACAAGAAAAACGTCTTCATGAAACCAGAGAAGTC